ACTGTGTAGGACTCCATGGTGGCTTATGTCCAAAAGATGAGAGTAGACAGGTTGAACAGCAGACATGCTGCCTGAGAAATTCTCCCAATTGGCAGGACAAGAGCTACATATCTACAAAAATAAGAATCTATGGGGTACATGCTCTGTTTTTCTTAAAGGTGTGGTCAAGTCAGTTGGCTGTTCTGCATGTAGCTCATCCATTTGGTATTCCACCACAATTAGGAGCTGACTGAAAAGGCTGAAAATGAGCTTAGTTCATAACCTTCCATGTGAAGTGATTAAGAAGGCTTAACCAACAATTCATGTTAACTTTATACAGCTGTTCCAGGGGAAGACTCTCTTGATTGTGGTAGAATTCTTCCCAAAGTGGCCTCAAATGTTTTTAGTTTCATTTCTAACTTCTGCTGCTAAGTGCTAGTTATTTACAGTAAATGGATATCCCGCTACTGCTATATGATAATGGACCCTTATCTCAGTTTAAAGACCTCATCAACAGGCACTGCAAGCAAGCTGCCAGTCCATAAGCCTTGATAAGGAATTCAGGCTGAATGGATGGCACTGGCATCTGAGAATGACCTAAGGCACACTTCGGGAGAAGACCATTGCTCAGTGAGCTGTGTTAGTCCCCACAACTGGAGTCAGCTGTGACTGCTGAATATTAATTGGGGCATTATCTCGAAATAAATCTGTCTCTATTTAAACTTACGGATTTGTAAGGTCAACTTGCACCTAGAAATATTTATCATTGGTTGAATGCCTACCATTTGCCAGGCTCTGTGTTAAGACCTTTGCATATATTAACACATTTAAATTCTCATAAAAAGCATGTTGTAATAATAATGACTAACGTTTCCTAAACCATCACTGCATGCTAGATCATATTGACAGCTCAGCTTTATATAGCCTCATTTAACCCTCATTTGACTGTTTGACATGGCTCTTACTATTATTTTTTCCTCACAAACAGGGAAACTGGGCTAGGGTCAGGGTAGGAAATGTGAGGTTGTCACATAGTCAACAACTGAGATCTCCCTCCAGGGCTTGTGCTTCCAACCACTACACAGGTGCCTTGCTGTAAGGAGATGAACTGATCACTATCATTTCACCAGTGAGGGAACTGCAGGTATGCTGTTCAAAACCACACTGCTGGACAATGGTAAAAAGTGTAATGAGAACTTCGGTGTCTCTGCCCACAAGATTGTTCTTCCTTTCTACATGGCTCTGATTGTATATGCTCTTCAGTAATTGGCAAACAAAGTTCAAGCTCTGTTAGAAATTACAGAGTAGGAAAAAATCGGGGTTCTGTTCTTATAAATGAAATCACGGCACCTGAATTATGCAAGGTTGAGCCCCAAGATAGGCCAGCAAGTCATTCCCACCTGATCAGCTGAGAAGGTCTTCCCTGAAAGCAGGGTTTGATCTTGGCAGAGCCATTAGAAGGATTTCCTCTGGATAACATACTTTTCTTTAAACTGTTCTGTATTTTCTAAATTTTCTACAATGAGCATGCATTACTTTTGAAAGTAAATGTTCACAGACAAAACATGAATACATTCTCATGTTAAAACATTCAACATCACAAAGCCTTTCTCTTAAACTCTCACCTTCCCCTCCTCTATTCTAATCTCCTCTCAAGCTGTGTGGATTTTAGTATGAATTCCTATAGACCTGAACTAACCTATATAGAAGTTACTACACATGTGGCCGTGAGGACCTAAAATGTTTTAGTTGAGATGTGCTGTTAGCATAAAATATATACCAGATTAAAAAATTTAGTGTAAAAGAAGAATGCAAATATCTCATATAATTTTTATGTCAATTACATGTTGAAATGAAAAATTATGGAGTCAGTAAAAAGATCAGTGGTTGCCAGGGATTAAGCTGGGTGGGGAGGGATGAATAGGCAGAACATGGAGGATTTATAGGGCAGCGAAATTACTCTGTGTGATATTATAATGGGAAATATATGTCATTATACATTTGTTCAAACTCATAGAAGGTACAGCCCTAATGTGAACTATGGACTTGGGTGATAATGATATGTTAATGTAGGTTCATCAATTGAAACAAATGGATTGCTCTGATGGGGGATGTTAATCATGGAAAGATGATACATGTGTACGCATGTGTAGGGGAATGGGTTCATAGGAAGCCCCTACCTTTTGCTCAATTTTGCTGTGTACCTAAAATTGCTCTAAAAATAGTCTTCAGAAAAATGAATATACTGGTTAAATAAAATACATTATTAAATTAATTTCACCTGTTTCTTTTTATTTTTTTAAATGTAGCTACTAAAAATGTGGCTCACATATTTCTATTAGGCAGCACTGCTGCTCTAGAGTCCAGATTTTTAGTGCACTTATACATACATATTTAAGAAATACATATATATTTCTGCCTGTTGAGTAAAAGCACCTACTGCTTCAATTTGATCAACATTGCCCATAAAGTGCCGCATCAAAACACCACCTCATTTCAGCTACTGAATTCTGCTAGTTGCTGTAAATAAATGCTGATGCAGGTGATCTATGTAATCACTACTTTGCTAAATTCTAACTAAAGTAACTTTAAAAATATCTTATAATGCATCTAATAGATTTAATTCTAAGTAAATACCTGATAATGTCCAGTTCAGTGATAATGCAAAAGAAATGACCCCAAACAAGCTCCTGCTACCCCCTGGCCCCCGCTTTAAAAAATGGCTAAATATACATGATTTACATAGACTGCATTTGTGTAAGTGATGAACTGGTGGCATGTACACATGCAGCACATTCTTTTGTTGGGCAGGACAGGTGTTTGTTGTGTTCTAGCAAGTCATTAGCAGATTGAAAACATTAGCAGCTCTTACTTGAACTCAGTGCAGAACCTCCTTGAAGGCAAAGGAGAGAAAAAGAACATTAGCATGAGCCAAGGTGCCCTGGTAACTCATGATTTTCATTCCTGTGAGTGCCTTTTGATGCTCTGTCCCATTTGAGTCCTTGTGGTTACATGCTGCCTAGTTAGAGAACTGCAACTGAAGTCCTGTTTATTCCTTTGCCTACTCACTGCTGCTTCAAGTCAAGCTTCCCAAGCGATAAGATGGAACACTGGACAGGAGTCTCTGCAATTTTCTTCTAGCTGGTAATTCTCCCAGTCTAACAAACCAAGTTTGCCTTAAGCAGATACCATTGGAACTATTTTAAATGCTCCATATTGATAAGACATTTAAAACATGTTTCCTTTCCCCTCCCCCTATTCCTCACAATCTTTTTCCTTTATTTCAGAAAGAATAAAGAGAAAAGAAACTAGAATACAGAGATTTTCAACTTTTTATAAAGTGCTATATATCATTGTATTTAAGATAATCTTTTTAAAAGTAAAAAAAAAAAAAAAAATTGCCCCTGAATTAGGATTGACTTTATATGAGTAGATACCATCTGCTATAACAGCCCAACCCTGTCCCCCCAGGTCTTGGCAGCTAAAGGTGAGTAGGACCCCTCTTCCTTCCCCATGTCCCTGCCTGAGAAGCTGCCAGGAAGCTCTCAGGCAGCATTAGCCGGCAGGAAGTGGGGTGGGAGTGAGGGAGTCTCCACCCATTAGCAGCTGCTTAAGCAGTAGGCAGGGGAACTTTCTACAGAAAGGTCCAGGTCAGCAGATACTCCAAACCAATTTCTACCACATGCTACCCAGTTGTGGAATTAAATTAAAATGCTAAGAAGGGATCTGGAATGCCAATTCCCTTGTTTTCCCCCTACTTTGTGCCTGGCACCCAAAAGAATAAAACAAGAGCAGCTGGACCTTGGCAGTTGAAAGGGAATTATTAGGTAACTAGAAGGAAGCGAAGGCAGCACACACCAAGGAATGCTGTCTGCACAGACGTCATGTGCCAATGATGAAATGTCAAGACCCATCATTGTCCCCGTGGTGACGTCTTAACAGGCTTAGTAACTTGCTCCTTTGGATTTAACCAAAAGACAAGTTTGAGAGATTATCGGAATCTTTCAGGGCAGGTGGTGGGTGTAGTCTTAACAGGCTTAGTAACTTGCTCCTTTGGATTTAACCAAAAGACAAGTTTGAGAGATTATCTGAATCTTTCAGGGCAGGTGGTGGGTGTAGTAGGGAAAGGAGTGAGGTCATTTTTTAAAAAGCAAAATAATGTTATCACCTCAGTGGTTTAGCTATAGTCCATTCTAGTGCAATGTGAAAGAAGTGTTGTCAGCAGCTGGGAAAATATTTCTAAATAAGTCATTTCAGATTACGATAGAGCTCTAAAATAAAAAATGAATAAACAAGTGTTTGTCCATTAGATCTCAGTGCATTTTTGTTAACACTTTACTTGCAGGAGATATTTGACTTTTTCTTACCCTATTTCCTTAACAATGATTTACTATGGCTTTAATAAGTGGATAAAAGTTGGGTCCATTGTTTCACATCCATACTTAAAAATAAGTTTTTATGGCTGAGCACGGTGGCTCACACCTGTAATCCCAGCACTTTGGGAGGCTGAGGCAGTCAGATCACCTGAGGTCAGGAGTTTGGGACCAGCCTTACCAACCCATGGAGAAACCTGTCTCTGCTAAAAATACAAAATTAGCCAGGTGTGGTGGTGCATGCCTGTAATCCCAGCTATTCGGGAGGCTGACGCAGGAGAATCACCTGGACTTGGGAGGTGGAGGTTGTGGTGAGCTGAGATGGCACCATTGCACTCTAGTCTGGGCAACAGGTATGAAACTCCGTCTCAAAAATAAAAAGTTTTAGAAGAACAGAAAGCCAAACACCGTATGTTCTCACGTATAGGTGGGTGTTGAACAACGAGAACACGTGGACTCAGGGAGAGGAGCATCACACACTGGGGGCAGTTGGTGGGCGTAGGGGAGAGACAGCGGGGGGTGGGGAGGGAGGGGAGGATGGGGAGGGATAACATGGGGAGAAATGCCAGATATAGTATGCACCTAAAGTAAAATTAAAAAAAAAAGTTTTTACATGCCATCAACAATAGAAAAACATTAAATGGTTACCTCTGCAAATGTGTTCCGATTTGCTTGCAAGCCAACTTTTACTACCTCAAAAGGGTTAACTATGATGGCTTCTGTTAGTCCAGATCCCAATCCAGCAATGGTGAATGTCTAGAAAAATTAAATCAATCAGTACTTTAAAACAAGTTATCATGTGTACAGGTTTAAACATCCTATTCATTACACTGTGCAGCTGAACGTTATAAAGAGAATGGAGAAACCTACATAAATGCACCATATACCATTACTAAACAGTTTTAGTTCTTGATTAGATGCTGACAATTCATGAAGAAGACATTACAGAAGCCACAAACCACATCCTAACAATTTCAAAATAAAATGTCAAAGCCCCATCAACAACGACTTTTTCCTTTAACAAAAAGCAAGTTTGTTTTACTGATTTAAAGGTGGATACTAAAACATCTGCAAATACAACAATTAAGAGAATTTGAATTGTAAAAGGAGAGCTTCATTTTTAAACATGTACTTAAATTTCTTTATTGGGCATACAAGAAATTCAAGGAGCAGAACCACAAATAAAATGTTTCTAAAAAGTTAAATTCAGGTAACAACATAGCTGGCAACATTTAACTCTATGGTCATGTTTTTAGAGCCACTATTCTGGACTATTAACAAACATAATTTATTTTTTATTTGTCTTTTCCCTATTTTAAAAAAACACAGGTAATTGACATAGTCTTCTAAACCTAAAAGCTTAGATCAGAAATGGCACAGTCCCAGTTGCTCGGGAGCTGAGGTGGGATTATCACTTGAGCCTAAGAGTTCAAGGCTGCAGTGAGCTATGATGGAACCACTGAACTCCAGCCTAAGTGACAGAGTGAGACCCTGTCTCAAATTAAAAAAAAAAAAAAAAAAAAAAAAAAAAAAAAAAAAAAAAAAAAAAAAAAAAAAAAAAAAAAAAAAAAAAAAAAAAAAAAAAAAGAAAGACAACGAAATGACTAGGTTATTCTGAAGGGCTCAAATAAAATCTAGAAAACTTATTAAAGGGTGACTGTATGTCAAGTTCTTATTCGCTACCTGTCAAGAATTTCTGCAATAGGAAAGAACGATTTTTCTAGAATTTTCCTCTAGGTAGAATGCTTGTGTGTTTTCTAGAAAATCTGCATCAAAAATAAACACAACAATTAAAAGATGCACATGCAAGACAGAAAAACAAAATGAAATAAAGCCCCAATTTTCAAAACAGATGCTGGAAAAAACGTAATTATTTAGTGCTGAACCTCCCATTCCAGGACCAGAGGTAGTACTCTAGGCAACCAAGAGAAGAATGAAACCAATGACGAGCAAATAACAGAAAACTCTTATTAATGGGTGCTAATCTCTTCTAAATAGGAGACTAAAAGAGAGGAGAAGGAGAAAGGAATGTTGTATAATCTTGGAAAGAAAAGCAGAGAGGCAGGATCCAGACACAGGAGGTCTGGGTTTAGGTCCAATTCTAGCACTCATTGGCTGTGTGACTAGAGCTGTAACACACAGTAGCTTGTGCATAGGCAAAGGTGCCCAACCAAGGATGTGTGGAGGCTGGAATCCAGCTTGCCCCTCATTTGCTAAGAGGAGCCCTGGAGAGACATCAGTCAGGAGAAAGGGCGCCTTTTATTATTCACACAAAGGTGCCATTGGTGCTAGCTGTGGCTCTGTTGTATAAATTGCTGAATCTCTGATGAGCCACAGTTTTCTTATCTGTAAAATAGATAATGATATCTAGTTTTCCTGCTCATAAAGTTATTTTAGGGCTCAAAATGATGTGTGAAGCCATTTCATAGAGTGCCATGTAAACATCATGGTTCTTGTTGCACACAGAAAAAGGAAGAATGGCCGGACACGGTGGCTCATGCCTGTAATCTCAGCACTTTGGGAGGCCAAGGTGGGTGGATCACCTGAGGTCAGGGGTTCAAGATCAGCTGGCCAACATGGTGAAACCTTGTTTCTACTAAAAATACAAAATTTAGCCGGGCTTGGTGGTGGTGGGTACCCGTAATCCCAGCCACTAGGGAGGCTGAGGCAGGAGAATTGCTTGAACCTGGGAGGTGGAGGTTGAAGTGAGCCAAGAAAACGCCACTGCACTCCAGCCTGGGCAACAGATTAAGACTCCATCTCAAAATAATAATAATAATAATAATAATAATAATAATAATAATAAAAGGAAGAATGGAATTGCATACAGATTCTAGGAAAGAGAGACTCACAGATGATGTTTTCATCTCCCTTCATTACAATTTTAAACATATTTGTATAGGATAACTTACCAAATATTTTATTCATTTATCTCAGACTTCCATCTTGGAAGCCAAAAGTGGAAAAAAAAATACTAGTCTCAAGTTATTCTGACTGGGAAAGCTAAAATCCAGATGTCCAGGTTTTTATTACTTACTATATGCAATCTTCCAAGTAATTCCCTTTTTTGCTCTTCTATAAAACTTAGCTACATTTGCTGTCAGAACTAGTGTTCAGCAGTCCCTTGTCAGAAGAATTGATCAGATATCAGGAGATCATGTTGCGTAGATTGTTCCAGAAACTTACATTTACTGTTGGGTTTCCAGTCTCCTAGGCTTTTCATGTGAGAGCACGAGGGGACATTTAACAGCTGTTTAAATGTCTAGCCATATCAAAAAAAGTCACTGAAATAAATGAGTTCAAGAAAAGAGAACTGTACACAGTTTGCATGCATTTGGTTATGGTAGCTTCAGTGACCAAATGCTTTTCTATTTCAATTCTCAAGAGTCCAAAGACCTATAGTCTCTCACAAGGTACAAATGTTTGACACAAGAACAGCCAGCTGGCCCCCTAGAGACCATATTTTATTGTTTCTCACTAGGAAAGTTTTAATCCTCTTTTCGCCAAGCTGTTTCCAAATTTGTTGCTGAAGAATTAAAAGAAAAAAATCTTAGCTAGTTTTGAGATTCATGATGTAACTGCTCCTCTCTAGGAGGCCATGCTCCCAGCCACCTTGTATAGGCAAGAGTTGGATGAGACATTGCTTTGTCATAACAAAAAGTGATGCTATTAGGTTTCCTAACAGGATCTTTCCTAGAAAAGGGGCATGTATGATTTTTAAAAAATAATAGATACTTCTTCTTGGACAGTCTATTTGGCATATTCTTAAATATTGTCCATTTTATTAGGTAAACGAAGGCATTTTCCTAGAGGCTGGAGTACACTGCCAATTGGTGGGCCAATGCAGATTTTGTTTTGCTTTGTTTTGCAGACTTGGAGGGAGACATCAGTGCATTTCCTCTCTCGGGGGCTCCTGTTGCACACACGTTTGTAGAAGCCATTTGGTCAATACAATTAACTTCTGTGAAAAGCAGCAAAGTCAGCAAGAAGGAGAGGAATGGTGTAGGTAAATGATCAAAGCATCAAGTGAATTTTGTGTAATAAATGAGATATGTCATTGTAATATCACAATTCTCCCTAGCTGAGTTGTTTACAGTCATTCTTATAAAAGGTCCTTCAGTCTGCATCTAACCACAGAGTGATTTTATCCCAAGGGCTCTGAAGTCTATTTACTACAGCTGGTGCAAAAGCTGGAAAAGTGACCCATTTGGTGTATTGACTTTTTCATATGTAGGTATGTGCAGTATGTATGTAAACATATACATGTCTTGGTTTAAAAAGAGTCTTTGATAAACATGCTCTTTATTTCATATTCTTGACCATATCTCATATGGGACCTTTCTAGACATATCATTATTATCATAAATTCATCACTGGGAGCTATAAAATAGCCAAATTGTGAATTATTAGGAAGATGGCTTTCAACAAGTAGCTGAACATTGAATAACTCAAATTCATATTTTAGTAGCTGGGCTTGGGGAATCAAAAGAGTTTTTGTTACTAGATTTTGCTTTATGAAATAACACACACATTTAAGTATAATAAATACTCTCACTTACCAATGCTGGTGACAGTGACACATATCCTAGCAATTTTTTGTACTGCTCAAAGGTGAAAAACTGTGAAACAAAACCAAACCCACAGATTTATAACAATTTCCTGCAACAAACTCTTTAATTGACTCAAATTTCTTTAGTAAATCATTATGTTAACCAGCATTTCAAAAAATGATAAACTATCTAATACAGTTTTTAATCCTGTCTCGGGTAGTTGCTATTGGATCTTTCTTTAACATTCACAGTTTCAAATGCAGTTATAATAACCTACAGAAGAGCTGATGAAATCCTTTAGAGCAGTAAATGAACCATACAACTTCCATTTACCATGACCATTTTCAGTTTCCCCAGACATCAATAGACTTCTCTCTTATGGCACTGATTCAACATTACAGGCCTAGAAATCTGATGTCTTTGGTCTCCTATGTTTTCTCTATGAACTGCTTTCCCAGTGAAAGCCCAATTTTCTAACACACTTGTAAAAAGACATACACTTTTCAGCCTTAACTTGCATTTCTATTCTATTCATATCCCCTCTGCTCCATGGAATTGAAAACACTAAATAATTATGAAGATGCCATGATAAACTAGGGAAGAACCCAAAGAGGTTATCTAGATCATCCCCTGCCATAAAAGGCTGTCTTCAACCTGAATGAAGAAAGAGAGCTGATAATTCCTTCCTTCAAAACTGATGGTGATAAAGATGATGGTGATGATTTATCAGATGAATGTATTGTTAGTTTCTTCAGTAGATGATGTTTAGTATAACTTTCTCTGCAAACAAATTTCAATGGAGGCAAATCTAATCAATTGCTTCATATAATACATTTTTCCCCTTCTTTCTTTCTGTATTCTACTTTTTGAGCAACAACTCTGCTTGAACATGGTTTGCTCTTGGGTACTCAGAAGCTGTCAAAACCACTGATAAGGCATGTTTTTAGGTCCTGCTAGAGGCTGATTCTCAAGACTCCAAAAATGGTATGGGTATTATATGGTCCCCAATATTTTCTACTCTATTATTTTATAGCCCAGTAAAATGGGGAAAGAACGCAAAATCTGATTTCAGAGCAAAAAATATTCTGCTGTTAGGAAGAAGTAGCTCCTTATAGATGGCTTTAATGAGTGTTTGGGTAGCCCAAGAATCATTTTACTACCAGATACATTTTGATTCTTTTCAATACTCAGGAACTACTTTTGTGCCATGGTCTTTTAAATGTACTATTAACGTAGAGTTTCTAGAACCAGGATTCATTTAATCCACTCATTTAATAATACTATTAGAGACCTCCTATTCTAGGTACTGGACATGTAACAGTAAAAAAGAGAAACCTCTGCCTACTTGAGCTAACATTTTAGTGGCTTGTAAAGGCCCTGAAACTATCCTGGTGTTAAAACAGTACTCACCAGGGACCACCACTTTTTTGATGAAATATGCATTAGTAACCATTAACCATGGAAGGAAAAGTGTTATAATCTTAGGTTTTTAAAATAATTTATTTTTCTTCATTTTTTTGATGGTCCTCATCACCGCTTTGACAATCACCTTGCTGGCATTTGAAGTGAGCAGTCCTAGAGCTGATTCCAGGTTATGCTAATTAGCTGTGAAAGCACAGGAAAGTTGCTTAACCTTTCTAACTCTCAAGAACACAAAAGTTACCTTTTAGAGTTATCATTAAATAAGATAATTTAAGTAAGATTCCCTGACAGGACTGGCACAAGTGAGACTGTTGAAAAATCTTAGTTTTTATTCTCTGACTTCACTTAGGTTATCAAAGGAGTCATAGACGCCTTAAGTATATGAGCACTCCTCTCAATGCCCTGGGACTGCTGAAGCTTTCCAGTCTGGCTGGTGGGAACAGGCACTATTCCCAGCCCCATGTGACTGCTGAGTGCTGTTCCCTTGAAGCCTTTTGGGCGGTTCTTTCCCAGGCATTGGTAGTTTCCTCGTAGGCATGCACTGGTCAATACTCAGCTGAACACTTGGGGAGTCCCTCTGCAGACCTCAGCAGTTCTCTCTTTGTGCAGTCTGCTCTTCCCTGTTCCTTTGTGCAGGTACTCTGTCCTATGGACTCTGGCTGTCTTGCTCTCCCCTGCCTTTCAGCTCCTTCTCAACACAGGGAGTCCCCTGGGCTCTGCCTTGGTTTCCCCTCCCTGCCCCGGGGCCTGGAAAGTAACCCAAGGCAGTAAGCTGTGGCATCACAGGGTGCGTCTCATTTGTTTTCCATTTCTCAGGTATTTCCAGCCTTCATCATCTGATGTGTCCAGTGTCTTGAAAACTGTTATTTCATACTGGTCCCTGGTACCCTATCTCCACCAGGAGTGGAAGTTTTGGCCCTCCAGAGACTCTGAACAGTAGATGTGGGAATTTTCTCTCTATATATATTTCTTTGTTTCTTTCTGTTTCTTTTTATATATGTTTCTTTTATTCAATATCATCTGAAATCTACTATGTATAAATACTATGATTGGTATCAGTATACTGCAGTGAACAAATAGGCTTCACAGTTTATAATCTCTTGTGAATTTAGTTAGCATAAGGCAGTCCTTGAGAAACTGAACGTGGGAAAGGTGGTATTTCTGCATGTGTGAAGCTCAAGACTGGACCCTGAAGCCTGAACCATGGTGTCACTCATCTCTGAGGGATCAGTTGATCTCTCTCAAGTCTTCATTTCCTTTTGCTAACTATAATACTAATTCTGTCTAATTTGTGAAAGGAGAAGTTCCATTCACTTAGCATCAGTTAGTCTTATTATTTTAATGATAAGCTTATTTCAAAGAATAAAGTACACAAAAACTTAAAATTGTCTGTTTCTGATTATGGTAATGATTTTAACTAAAGTGTCAGTACCAAAGAATACACACACACACACACACACACACAGATATACCCCACAGTCTCTGAATATTTTTTTTCTGAAGTAAACTTTGATGACATACAATGAAGCAGTTTATGATGTATGAAATCGTTACAATCAGGTGATTGCTTTCCTCACAAATCCTAAGATAAATATCTATAAAATGAATGTTTTCACAAATTGTGTTGGAAAAACTAGGCTATCCATCTGGCAAAGATACACTTAGCTCCAAGTTATACTTAAAAAGCCAACATACTTACCATATGTCTCAATAATTTTAAGGTAAAATCTACTTGAAACAAGATGTCTGGGACATATACACCATATCCAGTTGCCTGAAAGTTCATCTGTTAACCATTGTTCTGGCAGAGAGCATTGCTTTTGTAAAATAGAGACTAACTCCATTTTATAAAGCTAAACTTTTTTTTTCCTGTAAAAAATTGTTCAATGTTGATGTCTTAATCCCCTTAAAGTTTAAATTGTCTCCAACATATAATATTAAGAAAAAATATTCCAGGAAAAGCTCTAATTGTAATTTACTTTGTTTACACATGTAAATCACTGAACAGATGAATATATCATTCCATGCAGATAAAGCAACTTTCCTTTTGAACAGGAACTTTGCCCTGTTTGTTTACTTGGGCAATCTTTTATCAAGTAAAGCCATTTCATAATTCAATTCAGCTCTTTTGTGTACTTTGGTGAACTTATTCCAGATTCTCTACTGTGATTCAGATCCTTATAATGAAATTTGTATTGAAGTGATATTATAAAATCACAAAACCTATACCAACAAAGAGGATAAATTTATAGAGAAAGTATGTTCTAAAGCTTTGTTTTCCAAATTCTAGACTTGAATTCAATCCTATTAAATTGCCATTTTGACATAATATAAAGGTTGGATGTTTGTGTGTATATGTGGGTGATTTTATCATAATTACAAACCAGTCACCCTCTTGAACTTACTTAGCAAAAGTATATGAGCTGTTCCCTCTTGCCTTTCAGGACTACTGGGAATACAAACTGAGTAATGTATGTGAAAAAAAAAAAAGCCTTATATTGCTTGGAAAGGAAGTCTTTAGGCTATCATTATTATGGAAGGACAAAGCCTTATTTGGTGATGTCAGTGGTATGGGGGAAGGGAGCAATGACTATCAGAGTCTCTATGATCAGGACTCTTGTCTGAGAGAAGACAGTAGTCAGATTGAGTTCTTTTGCCCCTGCATGTTCTGCCAGATCTCCCTGTTCCTCTTCAGATACTCAACTAGCAAGTAGTATATAAACCTCTACAGTCATGTGGTTAAGTAAATGGAAATCAGGGTACTGGAAGTAATAATTTTTGTAAGAACCAGAATAGAGAATTTTAACAGAGGAGACTGGGGGTAAAATGAAGTTGGCATGCCAAATAAATACACTATGTGAGAATCACATATAAACAAATATAGTATATTGGTTTACTCTGTTAATAAAATGGGAATGATTTAGGGAGAAAGGTTTTTCTTTCTCTCCTCTTTCCTCTTCCCTCCCTCTCTCTTTCTTTAATAATTATTTCTCCAAAGGAAAATTTCTGAGTTGCTTTGAAGAAAGGTCCAAGCTATTTTGTGGTTTACTAGCATTTCCTTCACCATGTTGCTTTTTGAATAATTTCCCCATTAAAATGGAATGCTTTTACCTGATTAAAAAAATCTACAAATTGATCTACATATTTGAGAGACTGACCAAGTCTAATTACAATAAAAATGATGCTATAATTTCTGCATTAAGATTTTTTGTGCTTTATGCACCGTGCTTTTGCTTGGTGGGAACACATGCAATGCTTACCTTCACTGCTCTTTTTGGTGTTTCAGCCAAGATAGGTGGCAGAATTCCCTTGTAAAAACCAAACAACCTGTTGGAGAAATAAAAGATTTTCTGTGAGTAAGGAAATTAGGAAACAAGTATTTCTGACTTTGTTTGGATAAAGCAACTAATCCGAAAGCATTCCAGATTATTCAACATAGCATACCAATCATGAAGTCTTCCTTTCATTCTAAAATAAAGAAATAAATTCTGTGTCTATTAGCATTATGACATTCAGAAGATGAATACATGATACTGAGACAGGAGCCCCTTAGGTAAGTTGCTAAACATGACCATTAGTTGTACCTTAATGATGAAGCTGACCCTCCTTACTCTGAGTTTATTTTCTCAGTTGTGTGGCAGGTAGCTTCAAGCTATCTACAGTCCTGCATCCCCTCCCTTGTGGTAACCAAATGAAGTTAGGATTATACCTGAATCCATTAGAGTGTACCTTTCTGAGGCTAAGAAGGTGATGAAACTTTCAGTTTTAGCTTTACTAACACAAGGGAGCTAACAAGCTCTGTGGGTATGGTATTAGGGCTTCTAGCCCTGTCCTAAATTAGTCAAAATTTTTAAGCTGCCTTAATGGGGTGGAATATGGTCAAAGAGAGTTGGCTATAGGACTGTGTGTTGCCAACAGAAGAAATGTCAGACTCCTTTGCTGATATGCAAAATCACAAGGCATGGACCAGTTTTCTTTTCCAATGTTCATGGGCCCATGGTCACATAGTCAGATTTTTTTTTTTTAAAAAAGAGTGACATATGATTAGATTTATAGTAAGTCCTCATTTATTTCTTATTACATTTTAGAATTCAAAATTGTAAATTCCTTTGTCCTGGAATCTTCATGTATATGCTATATCTTCATTTCAAACCTTAAAATATATAAATAGAAGATAATATTATGCATTATTTTCTGAGTAATCATTTTTCCTGATGAGTCCATAAGTGACTACAGATGAGGGCAGAGCTCAACATGTCCCTAATTTAGGATATCCATCTAACATGGGGCTGCAGCTTCTCTGACTGACCCCCCAAGCTTCACTCCAACTTCCTTAAACTGGGTTCACTTCCAGCTGTGCTTCTGGGAACAAGAAGTTGAGAACCAATTCAGGTGAACCCACTGTGCCACCCAAACCAACATGGTAACCTCTTGTTCTCCCGCAATTCAATGGCTTACACAGTACCTTTCAGTGAGAGGACTAAAGTAGTTGCCTGATTTATTCAATTCATGGGCTTACACAGCCTCAGTTCACTGGCTTACAGAGCAACTTGAGGGCAAATTAACAAATATTTGGGTTTCTTACATCAGAATCCTTGTGTGTGTGTGTGTGTGTGTGTGTGTGTGTGTGTGTGTAACCAGGACACAAATATTTGTTAAGCTTATGGATCTCATAAAGAGGAAGAAAGGGATCAAAGGATTCCCAGATATGGGCTTAGTCTGCCCACCATTTTTGACTTAATGGATAGTGCTAGCATTATGAATAGGAAGTAAAGCAGATACATGATTTGAAGAGCTATAGCAATTCATGAGTTGTTCCCACCCCTTTTCCATTCCAATTTGAACTACTGATGCCTGAAATTCTCATGTCAACATGAATTTCTTCTAGAAGCTAATAACTTTTAAATACTTTTTCTCATTTAAATTTCATTATAAATTAATCACTATGTAATTTTTGGCATAAAGAGTGACTAAGCATAGATAGGTCTTCCCAAAAGATAAATGTAATTTTCTTGAACAGAAGTTCTACATCTAAAATAAAAAAGGTTATTAGTTCTGTTCTTTCTGTGTTGATCATTCCTCATCTGGAAGACTATGCCTGATTATTGGAGGAAGAAAAAAATAAAGAGAAACAAGTAAGTAAAGCTTTTAAAACAGAGTGCCCAGATCAACAGAGGAACTTGAAATCCCACACTACAGAGAACAGTTATAGGAAGAACAGTTGCTTCACTTGGAGAAGAATGATCTTAGGGAGAAATAGGTGAACGTGATGGATCTTTTGAAAGGTGTACATGAAAGAAAGATATTACACTTTTCTCTTTGTTTCCAGGTGGTAGAACTAGTGCCAACAGGTGGAAGCAACAAGAAAATACACATTTTTGGCCCAGGTGGAGCTTAACACAATGAAGTACGTCTAATAGTCAGAACTGCCTAAAGATAGAATGGGTTCTCCTAAAAAGTGGTGAGTTCCCCTTTGGTATGTGATCAAACAGTCTTGATGGCCACTTGTCATGGATACCAGTGATGGGAGGTTCACAGCAAATCCATGCATTTGACGGCCCTCAGGGCTGGTCTATTTCAGTCCTCAGATTCTGTTATTCTGAGAAAAGAATAAGAAGACATGGGCAAGCACTTCTCTGAAGAGACAGAATTTGCCACACTGTAGAGCTTTGCATCAAGTCTTGCACTGCTTCTCTGGAAGAGGACTAAAGTCTTATAACTACACAGAAGTTCTTCATTTTAAAAGTGATGGGGGAAATATTTAAAAAAAGAGGTGTGATGCAGGAGAGAAGAAGAGGCAGCTGGGAGAAGCATACGGATTTAATATGACAAAAGCTGGGAGGTCCAGAGCCCTCTGCTTTGTGTTGAGGATGCTTCATTGATGTGTCCTCCTCCTCTTCTCTTTACTCAGCTGCTTTCATGTGCAATTGCTCCCCTCCTCCCACACCACCATCCTGAGCTTCCAAACCAGGAATGAACAATTTTAACAACAAGTTCTCAAAGACCACAGGCAGTCTCTGCTGGTAAATGAAAGCTAGGACCACCTACCTCTTTGCATTGTTTTTACTGTATAGCCATGCAATAGTAGACATCTATGGAATAGTCAGGTCAATAGCACTTCCGCTGAGGGCTGGCCCATTTTAAACACATTAGTACAATATGATGCTGCTTATAGGCAGGAGTTGACTGGGTGCCTCACCCAGATGGGTCCAAATGGTATTCTACTTCTTTGCCTGAGTTAGTTTGATCCAAGCGAGACCTAGCCTAAGATTTTGGAACTCTAACAGGGCCAGTCTTGTTCTGTCAGGTTAAAACTGTAACATATAAAACTAGGATATCAATGGCAGTCATGCTTTTAATCATTTGGAGAAAGTCAATCTGCAGTGATAAAAAAGAAAGAAGCCACCATTTGGGGAGGCACAGAAGCAAGAAGAAGAAGGTCTGGTTCTGTGAGTATGGACTTGTTTCCAGAATTTCTTTAAGCCTAGTTACGTCTTGACCTTTCTTGAATATTGGTATTTACCTCTGCCTTTGATTCTATGAGATGCTCAGTAACATTTCCAGGAAATTCTCTTTTTTACTTAAATAAGTTTGAGTTGCATTCATTATTTATAATGCAGAGCCCTGGATCCAGAAAGTAAGCATCATGGTCCCTCCAGCCAAAGTGGCTGCTGTAGAACCTCCATGCCATGTCCAGTCATAGGAAGAGCTTCACTCTCAGTTAAAATTGGCCCTTGAGCCGATCAGAAGAGTCACATACAAAATGTGGGTAGGAGCATGTGGTCAAGGGCTCAGCTGATGAGCTATTCTTGATTAGATAATTATTGAAAGTTTTCCCAATGCAAAATATTATATGCAGTTTCTAAAAACCAAAAAGCAATTATGTTTTATGAAGCAGATGCATTTTTTTTTTCTGCAAAAGAACTGATGTTTATATTCACATGCACTGTCCATTCTGCCTTCATGTGGTTTTGGCTTGCTGTGCAGAGCCTACAGCTTACCAGGACCATAATCTGGGAAGTTAAGAGATTGGCGACACCCATTAACATGTGTCATCCCACTTACGTCATGAGCAGCTGAGAGCTGCTTTCAGCCTACTTGCCAGATGAATAGATTGTGGGCTTCTAAACGTTTATGTAGCAGCAAAGGCAATTCTTCTCTCTGATGTGATGGCAAAGGTACCACTCTAATCTGAAGTTTTGACTCACATTGAGCCAACTGGAAGAATCTTGGGAAGAGGCATAAGAGCTACTACAAGACCTCCCATAAAATTGTATTATGAACTACATGGCAGCTCTTATATTGTGTTTTCAAAGCTGTTACTTCTAAAAGTATTAGCTTGCATATTTATGGATTTTTGTAAATATTACTGTAAGTAAAAATAGTCAAATCTATTGAAAGCTTACTATGTAATAGCTTTCCTGTTAAGAATAAATACATGTCATTATATGTACACATAGTAATCTCAATCAACTTTCACAACAATCCTTTAAAATATTTATAATTATTTTCCTAATTTTGCTGGTAAGAACTACTGTCATGTCATTGACAAATAGGACACAGCAACCCAAATCAAGTACTCTATGTCCTTCACCACTGGGCTACACTGTATAGCTTTCTTTTTAAAATAAAACTATTTCAATAAAAGCTTTTGAAAAATTATTTATGTTGCAACAATACTTTGTCATTTCGCATTTTAGAAGGAAGCAGAAAAGGCCATTAAAATAGGTTTCTATTCCAATTTTTATTCAATTCTGTTCTAAAGTAATATGAAATACTATATAACTGATAGAACTGGTCTAAGATGAATAAGATCATTTTTGTGAAAGCTTTTGGGCTATTGATTAAACATTTTCTAGCTGTTTTAGAATGAGAAAAAAATGAGCCCTAGGATAAACTTGTCTCCCCCCAAGATAAACTTTTTTCCCTTAAGAGGCACACCAGGAGGCTGGGTCTGGTGACTCACACCTATAAACCCAGCACTTTAGTAAGCCGAGGTGAGTGGATCACTTGAGGTCAGGAGTTTGAAACCAGCCTGACTAACATAGTGAAACCCCTTCTCCTACTAAAAATACAAAAATCAGCCAGGCGTGGTGGCATATGCCTATAGTCCCAGTTACTCCAGGGGGTGGTATGAGAATTGTTTGAACTCAGAAGGCAGAGGTTGCAGTGAGCTGAGATTGCACCACCGCACTCCAGCCTGGGCAACAGAGCAAGACTCTGCCTCGAAAAAAAAAAAAAAAAAAAAAAAAAAAGAGAAAAAAACTCAAAAAAAAAAAAAAAACAAAATTAAAAAAAAAAAAAAAAATCAAGCCCAAAAAAAAAAA